TAACAGTGTCATGAAATAAAGGTATCTTGGTGTAATAGTCGATCAGTCTCTAAAGCCATCCAAGCAGTGTGCTATTGCTAATGGTAGGACAAATAAGACTAGGTTTTATTTACAGAAATATTGAATACAAGTCTAACGAGGTTATACTTTCATTTTACACGTCACTTGTTAGGCCACATTTGGAATATTGTGTTCAGTCTTGGGATCCTTACCTTAGGAAAGACACTAAACTGTTGGAAAGGGTTCAGGGAACGGTTACTAGAATGGTTCCTGGGATGGATGGGTTGTCGTATGAGGAGAGGCTGAAATCTCTCAAATTGTTTTCTTTTAATATAAGAAGAGTTAGGGGGGATCTGATTGAGGTGTTTAAAATTGTAAAGGGAATTGATAATGTTGATGTATCATATTTTTTATATTTAACAGTGAGAATAGTAGGACTATGGGACACAAATATAAATTGTGGCAGGGTAGGAGTCATCATCAGCTAAGACAGTTTTATTTTTCTAACAGGGTGGTTGGCCTTTGGAATGAGTTATCTTTGGATGTTGTGGAGGCAGTAAATTTAAGTGAGTTTTAAAAAAAAGCTTGATAAGTATGCAAATAATAAGGGCTGGCTTTAAGAGTTTTATTTTACTTTATTTATTTAATAGTTTTAGTTTAGTTTAGAGGATGGGGCAGCCAAGATGGACCAATAGGTCCCATGTTGTCCCTAAACATTATATTATGTTATATTACTTTCTGTTTAGACATCTTAATTCTGTTTATTTCTACGTATTTGTTAATTTTTGTTTAGACACCTCAATGCTGTTTCGAGTAAACTCAAATACAGTTACAACTATGGCTTGAGTGAGGTACCGCTTTTGGGAATGACAGTAGGTCAAACTATTGATTATGCTGCTGACATCGAAGGTGATAGATTAGCTTTCGTTTCTCGTCACCAGGGGATTCGCAAAACCTTCAGTGAATTACAAAACGACGTAAGTAAGCAACATTTGTGGTGTTATAAACATAACAATTAAACCTATTTGTAAAGTATCATAATGGGTCTTAGTAAGTAACCTAGTTGTGTAAAAGGTACCCCATATTCCGGTGGACTCCAAATACTTCAGTGTTTTATCATTTTATAAACGATACTGTTCTATCATAGTTTGATGTTGGCTATGAAAATGTCTGGTTAATACAATTCGATAAAACTAGTCGATTGAGACTTGGTTAATGTGACTAGAGGTGGTGCGGTGCCTGAAAAATGGAATCACGGGTTATCTGGGAACTGATGGTTAGGGCCACTGATCATCTGAGACCCAAAAAATGGGACACGGGTTATCTGGGACCCAATTGTTGGGACCACTGGTTATCTGAGACCTGATTGTTGAGGCCACTGATCATTTGAGACCTAAACAATAGGGCCACGGGTTATCTGACACCTAAACAATAGGACCACGGGTTATCTGAGACGTGATTGTTAAGACCATGGATCATCTGAGACATAATAAATGGAATCATGGGTTATGTTGGACCTGGTTGTTGGGGTAACTGATCATCTGAGACGTAAACAATAGGGCCACGGTTTATCTGGGACTTGATTGTTGAGGCCACTGGTTAAATGAGACCTGAATTGTTGGGACCTCTTATCATCAGAGGCCTAATCAATGGGACCACTGGTTATTTGAGACCTGATTGTTGGGGCCATTGATCATCTAGGACCTAATAATAGAGATCACTCGTTATCTGGAATCTGATTGTTGGGGCCGCTGATCATCTGAGATCTAATCAATGGAGCCACGGGTTATCTGGGACCTAATCAATGGAGCCACTGGTTATCTGAGACCTAATCAATGGAGCCACAGGTTATCTGAGATCTAATCATAGAGATCACTGGTTATCTGGGACCTAATCAATGAAGCCACTGGTTATCTGAGACCTAATCAATGGAGCCACAGGTTATCTGGGATCTGATTGGTAGAGCCACTGAACATCTGTAACAGTGTTAATTTAGCTGGGCCAAGTGTGTGAGTTTCTGGTTTTAATGAACTTGTTTTTCTTGTTATGAACAACAAACATTATTGTATTATTACATAGAATAAACTTGATACCGTTAATACTTTCAAGGTAAACCACCTAGCGGCGGGTTTCCTTGCTCTGGGTCTTCAGCCTGGAGACCGGGTTGGAATCATGGCGCCCAACTGCTACGAGTGGATTTTAACTCAGTTTGCCACCGCCAGGGCAGGAATGATTTTGGTAAGTTTATTTGTTTTACAGCAAAGCCAAATTTGGCTATCTGTGTTCACCGCGAAAAATCGATTTTAGCGTTGTACGTCCCCAAACTTACCACTGTCCCACCGAGGGACGATTTTGGCAAGATGGCGTAGATCCAGTAGTATAATAAATGAAATATTTACATGTAAAAACAACAATATTATATATATATATATATTTACATGTAAAAACAACAATATTATATATATATATAACTGAAACTAACGTTATTCAGTTATTATTACTTATTTTCTTTTACTTCTAGCGATTTAAAATGGCGCAAAAATTCATGTTTGTTTGTGTATGTCAAAACTCGAATTGTAGCGTTATAAGTCCTCAGACTTACCACTGAGCCACTGGTGGATGAGCGAGGGATAAGGTATTCTTATTTCTTTAAAAGGTAAAGTTAATCTTCTTATTTATCTGATTTAAAATCCCAACAGACAGGATCCTTCCAAATCACAAAACAAACGCCTCGAAATCTCTTCCGAAATATTTTTACGTAAATTGTAATGCTCGCTTCAAAATAATTATGCAATATATTAAATACTTATATTTATAAAAATCCCATGGTGATATCGGCCTTAGCTGGAGGGGTTTTTGTACCAATTGCTGTTCCCACAGAGCTTTGATGAAGAGCAGGGTGTCTATATAGTTCCCTGCCAAACCTGCAAAAAAGTCTGTGTTGAAAACACGGCAATGAATATATTGTTACGACAGCGGAAGTCACGTGACTCTGGAAGCATGCGTGGTGAATTTCTCGAATAATCGGGGAAGCTCGCGAATGTTGGAGACGCCTCTTTATTAGTATATAAGCCTGACAGAGAAAAGCCAAGGGGCTAAGCGAACAGTAGTTACAGTGATTTCTGTGTAATTTATGATTCTGTTAGTTTCGAGCTAGTCAGCCGTAAAGTGTGTGTTTTGCACTCATAGAGAGCGAAGTTATCGAGGTTGTGAATTGCTGTGATTTATAGCGTGTATTATAAAAGTAGTTAAGTTGAAATTGACGAGAAGCGTACTGACTGTGGAATTACTGTGTACTAATAGTTTGTATCACGAAAGAATAAACTGGTTTAATCAAGAAAGGACTTGTATCGCTGAAGTTCCTCGGAAAGAATTTCTACTGGAAATTAACAAATAAGCAGATACGTAACAATATATACATTAGTTGCAGATCATAAAAATGATCACGAGAGGAATCTTAATCACAAAATCCTCTGGAAATCACCTAAAATAAAACTATAAATTTTGTCAAAGGAAGAACTGTTCGTTAATCCTCAGGTTACCAAACTTTAGCACCTCTCAAGGACACATAAAAGTAATATTTTCTCTGACGTCACAAGGGCCTTGGAACTACCGCTATAAATAGTGTATGTGTTTCTCCCACAAACAATCGTTTAACGAAGAGGACACGCGAAAGTGTCTAAACTAGTATCAGTATTAGTTTGGTATTGTACCATTACTGCGGAATTAAACTTTATTCTGCACGGTAATCGATATTTAGTTGCTATTATACGCTTAGAGATACAAATGATTTTATTAATTGGTGAAACAAAAGCTGAACAAAGAACTTATGATTGAATACTGTAAATATATTATTATTAGACACATACAAAATGTTTTAAGAACGATGAACTTTGGGAAAAAAACACTTTAAAGTAGAAGAAAAAGTGCAATATGTGCTGAATTTTGACCACATTCGCTGAAACTTTGATGATTTAGCGGAATACGTACCTCTGCTGTTGTTTGAAGATTATGGTGTTGTTAGAGACTTGATAATTCATCTGTGTTCACGTGCTTATAATTAGTGGCGTCACATGTTATCCACGTTTGAATTGTATAATGTTTTCTTTTTATGGTTGGTGGACTTTAGTTCCCGAGACAAACAAGAGAGTTGAAGCCTCAAGGCAACATGAGAAAATTAGTTTTATTTAATCTCTGTAATTATTTATATAAAACATGTTATTAGCTAGAATTAGATACACAGAATTCGTTACTACAATGTAGCAACTGATTTTTCTTATCGTCAGTAAATATACTGGATTGGTTAGTACAAGAACAACAATGTTTTAGTTCGGATCACAATGTACCAACTCATTTCTTTTGTCGTCAGTAAATATACTGGATTGGTTAATACAAGAACAACAATGTTTTAGTTCGGATCACAATTAAGAAAAATCAGTTGGTACTCGTCAGTAAATATACTGGATTGGTTAGTACAAGAACCAACGGTGTTTTAGTTTGGTTCATATTTCTCTTACGACAGGTAAATATCAACCCAGCCTTACAAGAACAAGAATTAGAATATTGTATCCACAAGGTACGTCTCATATTTTCTTTTGAAGGTGTACTTTAGCGGTTTTATAACATTTTTTTAAACATATGCTAGTTCTGGTAAATAAGATTACTATTTACTGTTTGAGCAACGTCTACCAAAAATTAATATAGTTTAAAGTTGTGTTTACTTATTTTACTGTACTTTATCTATTAAAGTTGAATTGAATAAGTTTGTTTGTATATGCTGATGGTAAGTATTTTATTTTATTTTCTTACCTATTATACTTGGTAGCAGATCATTATTATTAGAATTTGATTAATTTTATTATTCTAACAACTGCTACACTTATAAGAGTTTAAATGTATTAAAGTTTTTTTTTTTAACTTGCTCCACTTCGTGACAAATCTTTCAAAGTTGGTCTTGATAAGTGTGTTCGTATTTTTCTCCCTTGAAAACAGAACTATATTTTGTTAAATATTAAAATCATGTAAGTTCTCCGATAACAAAGTTCATTTTCGTCACATTTAACTTTTATGCAGGTTCATATGCACGCCATTATATCAGCAGACAATTTCAAAACCCAGGATTATTACCAGATCCTAAGTAACATTATACCCGAACTATCCAGCAGCCGTCCGGGTCACGTGAAGAGCAGCAGGAAAGTTATTGTAGCTACCTAGACGTTGTTTAATGTTTATTTTGTTATTGTTTATAAGTAATCTTTGTTTATATTTTGTTATTGTTTACAAGTAATCATTGTTTATATTTTGTTATTGTTTACAAGTAATCATTGTTTATATTTTGTTATTGTTTACAA